TGCTTTGTTGTGTGGTTCCTGTCAACTCTGTTCTCCGCGTAAGTTCCAGCACTGTGAGAAGCTTCGGGAGAAGCGACTCGAATGTTGACGACTGCAAGGGTTGGGACGCCATAATCGGTACTTCGTAGCGGTAGGGTTCAAGTCCGCTAACGCCGTAACTCAGGCTGGTACCTTGAGAGTGCACAGCCACAGGAGGTTGTTTGGATCAGAGGCTGTTGCCAAACAGTTGACACGTCCTCCGACGCGCCCGCGGGACAATATATTCAAGTCAACCTTTGACAGCGACAACTCCCATCTTCACCTTCACCTTCACCTTTCTTTCCCAGGTCATCAGTCACTCCGAGGAGATGCCGAACTTACCTGTAGAGCTATGCTCTATGGTAGTTGAAGAGATCAAGTCCAGAAAAGACCTTTGCAGTATTCGGGCCGTCAACAGGACCTTCCATGCGCTGGCAACTCCAAAAGTCTTTCATACGCTGTATCTGTGTGGGTCGTTACGCGCCTTGAGCTATGGGCGAGGTATTATGCGAGACTTTGCGCCATGCGTGACCAAGCTTTTCTACAACGGTTGCAGGGGATATTTTCCGGGTGAATACTACCACTCCAGCAGCAGTATGCCTCCTAGTTCTCCTCCGCACTGGTGGTTTCGGCTTACTTACGTCCATTGTTACAATCTCAGAAGATCGTTGCATCTGCGAATGCCTTTGCGGACGCCACTGTAAAAATGTTTGCGAATGTCCCAATTCTCCGGCCTTCACCCATGAAGACGATCATACACGACAAACGTTCACTCTTGTGCATAAATTGTCTTCCTTAAAAAAGCTTGCTTTGACTTTCGACTCGGATCCCGAGTACACTGACATACAGCGGATTGTCATCGAGAGTCTCGTGCAGCAGCCACTTTCGACGAACATCGACACTCTCGTATTGAACAACCTCCATCCGGACTTTTTCAATGCATACAACAATCCGGAGTTCTATGATCTCATCAGCCAGCTTTCATACCTCAAGATCACTATACGGGCTAGGAAATTCAACTCCCTCGAGAACCCCCTTTGGGGCCGCGCTATGGAGGATGCCATATTTCTTCCGTGTAGTGTGTCGGGCCGTTTGACCTCTCTCACCCTTGCTTGTAAGAGCACCTGGTATCCAAGCGTTCCGCCCTTTTCCACACTCGAACTTCCCAATCTCACATATCTTTCCCTCACCCGGTTCATGTTCGACGATTGTAGTGGCATCGACAAATTCATCATCGAACACGGCGAAACGATCCGAACCCTTAAGCTCATCCTTTGCCCATTGCTGATCATTCGGGAGCCAAGCTCGGGAGATGCGCTCACTACGTGGAAGGAAGTCTTTGAACCCATGGCAGCCGCACTCGAGCATGTTCTGAAATTGACACTTAAGACCGGCGCCACTGGTTACATCTCTGACATGGCACAGGCATATGTCGAAAAAACCAAGCATGGTGTGGAGTTCATGGATGATCACGAGCTACCCGCGAATTGTGTCGATGATTGGTTGACACTACAAGACTTTCGGGAGGCTGTTGAGGCCAGAGTTGGAGGACATTACGACTATGACGGGAATAGTGATGAAGAAGGTCAGTAATAACCTTGTCTGCTTGAACTTAGTGCTAATAATGACTTCCTCTACTTGTTAGATTTTGATGGCCGGTCAAAGAGTTGAGAAGTGTTCACTATGGACGATGCTCAAGTTCATGTTATTGATCACGATCCTCGCAGAGAAATGAAGTGACACTGTTGTCGATAACTTCCCGGTCCATTGGGATCCTTCTGCGCTATGCTGGTCACTTCAGTGATCCTCATAGACTTGGGTAGTAAGTCGGCCCATCAACACGTGGCCCGCCTAGCTCAATCGGATAGAGCGTCAGACTCTTAGGCGGGTTGATTCCACCTGTTCGGAATCTGAAGGCTGCGAGTTCGACCCTCGCGGTGGGCTAATTGTTTTGTGCCGGAGAGCATTTCGACCTTCTGAACAAAGGAAGTGTGACCTGTAGTGCATCACACTCAGGCTGAGTTCAATTGCAGGCCACGAATTTTGCAAGGATCTAAACAGCAGAACAATGAACTCCTGGTCCTACATTCAAGTTCAACAAACTCAGCGGAGTGTTTGATAAAATACATTTCGAATTCATCTATGTCGTAGAAGATCATCCTGAGTGCCAGAATAAGTTACAGAATACCTGCCCGTCAGCCAAATGTCCCCAAAAATAGTAGATAATGTCCTCAAACAGCCTGGACATCCACTCGTATCTCCTCCTTCGGCGTTCCCGAGCTCCCACTACTATCGTCCGTCGCCGGCGTGTCTTTTTCCGCCCCTACGAATATCGTCTCGTGATTTGCCGTATTCCTGGTGCCAATGAAGGAGATATCCGTAGCCATGGAGCGATGCGGTGCGAAGCGGATGCCTGTGGATCTGCTCTGCGAGCTGGGACCAGAAGAATGTTGTTCGTGAACAGTCTCGATCACGCTGTCGAACCCCTTCCCCATCCCCACTCGCACGACCAGCAACGTTGGAGATATCACCTATTGCAAGAACAGTGAGCAGGGATCAAGTGGTGCATATAAATAAAGGCAGCTGACCGTGAGGATCAAACTGACTTCGGTGACCGCGGTCTGGTGCGCAGCGATCAGCTCAACGAGAAAAGCAGCACTAGGATGTGCATAAGATACTCACATTGAGATAAGCATTCTCGCTGTTGTTCGTGCTGATGACAATTATACCAGATACTGCGAGCAAGAGGCCAGACTCTATGCTACAATTTCGCAGCATGAATGACGGGTCAAAAACCCAAACCAAACAAAATTCCTTACATCATGGACATCGCAGTGCGATACCGAAGTCCAGCTGCCTTTCCTAGTGTCTTCTCGAGTTGTCGGGCCAAGTACCATATCCGTGAAACTAGAATCAGATGAACAAGCTGATTGCTGGAGAACAAGGCTCAATTGACATACCGATGAGCAGAGTCGCTATGATATTAGTCGCGAGACTGAGGCTATTGGCGGATATTTCCATGGTGACCTGCCAACTTGCGATTGCGTCAAATTGGCTTGCGTGCCCCGTGCCGTTGCGCACGAGTGAGTAAAATCGGGAGCTGTAGACGATCCCCACGATGCTTGTTGCTATGCACGGAAGCAGGTCTCAGTTCAGTATTCTTGGCGCGAGAAGGAGAGGACATGCCGACGGTAGCAAGTAACAGCGCGACTAATGGAAGCGAAATCCATCGCCGGTGGGGCCAGAGAACCATACAGCGATATATCTAGGAACGAGGTCAACTACACGCGTGGCCGGGTTACCCGAGCTGCAGCGCACCAAGATTCCGTCCGCAATAAAACTTTACAAGGAAACGTCAGACCGAGAATCACTCGAAAATGCGGTGCGTAGCGACATACCTCATGACAGTAGACGCAGCCTCCTCGACACAATTCAACAGGTCCCATCGAATTGCCTCGGTCTGCCTCTGCTGGGGGTCTAGACCCGTAAAACACGCTACAATGGAGCCGTCTTGCAAGTAGCTGGTGGCGAGGGTGTAGGGCGCGACCACGATCCTCGCCAGCTCGAGCCCGATGTACGCCGTCGTCACGACGAACAGTGCAATCGATGTGCTTAGGTAGAAGGCATTTGGGCGCTGGTACACGAGCATGTACACCGACCCCGCAAATAACGCGACATAGAGTCCTACGAACAGTTTAGCTGAGGCGACGAACCTACGGAATCCTAGGCATGCGTACCATAAAGCACAGTCTCAACCTGTATGAGGTCGATTATGATAAGCAAGGATCGCCCGCTGACGACCTGTTTGCGTAACGTACCCAAAGAAGCCCCAACAATGCCTAAAAGGAATAATACAACGTCAGCAGATCGATAACTCAGAGAGGTATATGGAAAACATACGCCGTAGAACTGCTGCCCACACATCGTGATGGTGCGGATGTGCAGCACGTAGAACCCAAAAGGAATGGTTCGGAGATAGTCCAGCCTTTATACATTCGATACTTTGGCTCCATCCTCCTTGGCGGATGACTTGAATGTTGGGCCTTGCCGGAATTAGACGAGAAGATCGCGCCTCGCCGGCGTTCGTTCTGAATGGCTCATTTGCAAGTGATGGACCTGATTTCTCGGTCAGTCAATGCCTGTCCCCGGTACAGCCTTACATAGACTGGAGAATATGAACATGCCCTGCATCGCCTTTTCAACGCACGCACGGTCAGGATGGCATTGGGGGACAACGCAATGGACAGGCATAAAGGTGAACATATATCAATTCATCCTGGCGTTGGGGGCTACACGATGGTCAGACACATATATGTTTACCAACACCCCTCCAGCAGGCATCGGACGTCCCGGCTGATGAGCTTCTGCTTGAGATAGCTTCGGTGTCTAAGAGCAGGCGAGGGCACAGGGCGTTCACCCGTCGGATAGGGCAATGAAACGCTCCCTGGCTCCCGAGGACGTATCCGCAACCAGTTTCCGAAGGTAGGTGAAGCCTTGTGCCTCAATATATGGTCGATGAAGTAGGAGATACCTAATACATCTGCGCGTCAGCGCTAAGTCAGCGTTAAGCATTTCATGACAAGAATTACTCACCTTCTCAGGGGTTCGTCTTTTAATGGTACGCATTGGTACGTTGATAAGATGGCTGTGAAAGAACTTGATGTTGGCGTCTGCTATTCAAACAGATGACAGCAATCTATGCATCGCCATGCACTGTTGTACAGAAGCATGCACTCCGATGGCGCGGAAGCCCAGTGTCGATTATCGAGAAGTACGACCTGAAGACACGAAGCTTCGAGTATATTGATACCGAGGAATGTACAATGACCGGGTTTGACCATACACCGGCGATTGTCGACTATTAACGGAAGTGTGTGCAACAGAAGAGACGACGCGTGATGCAATTGCAAACCAAGCCGACACCTTCATAATCATAAGTATGTTCAAGTTATTCTCGCCCTCAGGGAAAGAAGAAAAAGTCATGCCACGTACCCGGATTGAACGAATGACCTTCCCATGTCAGCTGGCTCGGTGCGAACACCGCAACCGCCTACAAGTGGGACGCGCTACCACTACGCCAACGCGGCTATGTCACAAGAAGCTCAGAAAGCATTTTGGAAGTGATCCACAAGGGTTTTTGCTTGGAAATACTATAAGAGGAGCCACGACTGGGATCCGGAAGCCTCGATGTCTTTGCGCTCGAGAGATATCCTACCGGTGCGGCTGGTAGGTGACCGACTGGTCGACTCTGACATGTTCTCGCGACGCGTTATGATCACGGTTGCAAATTACTTCCACCAGCCGCTGCACAAGACTCAACAATATTAATCACAGCCCTACTCAAGTGGTTCTTACACAGTCCTGGAAATGCAGAAGATCCGATATGACATGAATGCTGGGCGCAGTCGCTTCAACAATAATATGGTATAGCTTTGATTGCATCTCTAAGGATCAACGAAGATATACCTATCTGGTACTTACCGTTTTCTACGAAGGTTTCTGTGGAAAGTCGATCCGACAGCTAGTCGTCCCACGCTCTAACAGCGTGCACCTTCATCTCTTCCAAGCGTATAACGGCAGTGAGAGATGAGGTTATCTTCATTTCCCTACCACCTACTGACGAGTCTGACAGCTCCAACGATCCTTTCTGTCGCTATACACTACCGATAATGTCGATCATCCCTGGCCTCAACGACGATTGTGCATCCATAACCATAGGTTTCTTGGACACTCCATCGCTGCTATCCATGGCTACCACCTCTCGCGCGGCCCTTGCTTCTGTTCGCCTATGCCTTGTCCGTGATGTCTGTTTCGAAACCGACCAAAATGCGATTTCCTTTCTCACTTTCGTCATTACACACACTCTCGAAGCTGCAATGCGTACCTTCCGCTTCACAGCGTGGGATGGCGGTCTTAAAGCCCTTTGGCCGAACCTTCTGGCGGACGTTCTTACTCGGGCGACACAACTGACTTGGCTCGAGTTGTGGCCAGAGCGCGCCTTTCCGCCCTGCTTCTTCGACGCGGTCATCAATCGCACACCCGCCCTCACGCGCCTACATATCAAGAGTTACGACATGGAGTGGGTCATGGCATTGCAAGGTATCAGGGGGCTTTCGGTCATCTCTTTGACCATGAATCCAGGCAGAATCTCCTCCGAGGAAGTGGCATCCAGAATGGGGATGGTAGAGACTGTCCTTGCTGACAATGCAGACACTCTGGAGGATGTGAGCCTTTCGACCGTCTGCGACCTCTTCGAAATCGAGGGAAAACGGATCCGACTCGTCCTCGGCGAAATCAGGTATCCGCACGTCACTAGATTGACGCTCCAGAACCTTTCCTTCGACCTCGCGGATATCAACCGCCATTTCCCTATTATACAACGCTTCGCAGTAGGCCGCAGTACCATGCCAGTAGACAATTCGGGCGCTAGGCTGGTGTGGCCAATATTGACGACCCTGGTAGCACCGCAAAGTCTACTCGTGCCCATGCTGGCGCACAGTGACTGCCCATCGCTGCACTGTCTCGTCGTTCGCAGCAACTTTGACCCGTTGCCCGATCTGCGCATAAATGAAACGCTAGATAGCATGCGCGTGTTCAATGGTGTTCAAGAGTTATCGTTTACCATCCCGGTGAGGAATCCTCGCGCAGACAATTCTGCGGCGTCATTCCTTTGGCAAGTACTAGGGAGCGTGCCACATGTGCGAAAGCTGGATATACACCTCGATTTAATCTTTGACCGCGCAGAATTTATCCATCTGGTGCGTGCAGTCTTATCCCGAGCACACACGAACTGATTGCGGAATATGCACCTTCCTCACAGGCCAGTTTGACGCCCGACACCATGCCCTGGTCGTACGCTTTCAAGCGGCTCACTTTCCTTTCACTGTCGATGTGTGCCGAAAACTACACCGGTATGGACATGAATATCCAGAGATTTGCCAAAGTCTGGTTCACTGCCTGCCCCAATCTGACCGATATACGGTTACATATATTTCCCATGGAGATCTCTTGGAAACGACACAGGACTATCGAGGACAATGGCCACCAGCAAAGCCTTGTGGTTCCGTCCCGTCGTCTCAATTACGTATGGACACAGATCAACGACGAGGTCTCCGCGTTTGGGCCTCGGTCCTTGCCTGCATGTTGTCAAGGACGGTAAGTTTTGGGTTCTCGAGATACTGTAAGACCACTCAGAACTCACGGCTGCGGTTGCAGTCATAACGCTGAAAGGGATGATATATATTTTGAGGACGAACCAGAGATTCGCGAATTCTCACTGCGAGCATGACTGGAGGGTATAGGATGCATTTGGACATGAGAGGGCGCAGAAATAATCGTATTATCAGTCCATTCACGCGCGTACTGTACGGTACACGCGCAAACAATTTAGTCAATTCCTGAACCTGCGTATGGCATGTCCCAAGCCGATGTGGTAGGCTCAGGCTCCATTCATCTCGTTGGTGTGGTGCGCAGAAGAAATGTGCTGGGAACAGACATTTCCAAGCATCTTCTACGCACAATCCCAAATCGCAAGGCCCCAAAAATCAGCTACAAAAAAGGTGGAACATAGAAAACCTTTTGTTACAAAATCAACAGTTCAGAGAAGTACATGTGCCATATCCATGCACATCTTCTTTAGCCCCCTCGCCTTGGCCACCGTCTCCACCATCTCTCTCGTGATAGCAACAGTCTCCTCAACATCTTCGGCCTCCCGTATCTTGCGAATCAACAACCCACACTCGTTGAGCGCGAACGCCGTGTCCTCCACACGCAAGTTCGTCGCGCGGGCGATATCAACGAGTGTGCAGTGCACCGTAACGTGGGTAGTTGCACTCCCGTCCGGATTTGCAATGGTCTCGACTGTGCGGAGCGAAGCGATCCTATCGCCTTCAGCAGGCGCAGACGAGGAAAGCGAGGACTCCGACGCGTCGACCTCGCCATCCCAGCCCTTATTCGTGCGCCGCTTCTTATTCCGTGGCATGTGTTCTTCGAATTCGGCGGAGAGTGTGTGCAGCTGTGTCAGGTCATGCGGCCTCCCGACAGTCGTTATCCTGTCTACCTCGCCAGGGAGAACGGAAAGAAGACGGCTGTGATAAATCAGAAGTCAGTTGGAGGCACAATCAAGGGGCCACCACATCGCTCGCACCGAAGATATCTAAGGATCGTTGACACCCAGTATGCAAGGTAGCTGCGGAGACCAAGATCTGATAGGGGTCGTTCTGGGGTGCCTACTCTGCCCGCTCGTCGGGAAAGTTCATAGCCTAAGAAGTGTGGTACCATGAGCCTGAGGCCTTGGAAAATGCAGAGATGACATACTGAATTCAATCATGAGCATGCCATAGCCTTTTCGCTGGTAAGGTGGCAACACAATGATTGTCGCCAAATTATAGTCGTCGTACGAGACTTTCTCCTGTACGCGCGTCCATATATGAGTGACTTGTATGTATTACGGAGCTACGTGCCCACCTTGGAGAAGAAGCCCAGGACATGATCTCGTTGCGAGTCGGCGTCCGTCAAAAGGTAGAATAAGACTGTCATATCTCGGTGTGAACAGTCGGGACGTAAGGGACATACGTCCAACAAGCTCACAATTATCACAGTCGAAGAATAAGGTCTTAATATCAATAAATAGTTTGCCGAATAGCGACAGATTCTGGCAGTACAACTAATGGAGGAACACGTCAAAATGAGATATAATATTCATAAGATTGTAGAACATACCTTCTCTTTAGCCCCGTCCACCTCCCAGATGATGTGGGCGCCTCTCTGGTAGACTCTCCTCCCTGGTGGATGCTTTCTCGTGCATCTTCTCTGCTCATCCTAAGGTAAGTAATGCACCCCAATAGAAAGAATCGGACACGTACAACATGACCTTCCCAAGACGTCCCATCTGCCATATACTTGAAGCACCGGTCACATACCCACAACACACTCCTCTCCGTTGCGGCGTGATCACGCCCAAGTCCCCCAGCCAACAGATCCGACGTACGTCCATGGGATCGCGCGGTCGCTCGAGCGACGCCAGCGATGCGTTCCGCCGTGACAGGTTCCGTGTCCGGCTCCGTCTCCGACAGCGGGTATGGGGAGAAATACCTGCACGTTAGGAACTATCTCAGCCCGATATTTGACAAAGGGCGGGGTTGAACTCACCATGTCTTGATCTGGTACACCCCAAAGTTGACCTTATCGAAGTTCCGTCGCGCAGTGATCTGTTTGTGATGCTGGATGTCGAATTCCTCCTCCGTCAACTCAGGCTTGACGTCCTGCGTTTGCGACTGCCCCGCCGCGCTCGGCGTCGCAGCAGGGGTGTCTGCCAGTGATGTGGTCGGCGAGAGGCTTCGCTGGCGTTTGCGCGTGCCATTCGAAGTGGGTGCCACGGCCTGTGAAGATGGCGTGGGGGCAGGAGAGGGCGCGGGGTCCATGTGTACTTTAGACTCTGGGACCCATTTATCCAGTCGTTTGTCGGTTCCCGGCAGGTGGACGTAAAGCTTGCCCGGCCGCCGTTCAAGGACGTCGACTTCCTCTGTAGGAGATGGTTCAGAAAAGGAGAAGCGCTGTCACGACTCATGCACGCACGCATCAGGCCATCGTCTTCAATCAGAAACCCCGTTTGCGGACCAACAGAACTCATGCCAGGAAGTGTCGGAAGTCGCAGACAGCGCAAACAAGCCACTCGGCGGAACAAAGGGTGTTGTATAGAAGTTAGAACAGCCGGTGTACAGACCGTTGTGGTCAAGATTAAGTATATCTAAAACTAGTGAAGACAATAATGTCCCGTCGTCTGACCGGGATCAAACCGAAAAGGTGGACAATGGCTTGCTCATGGGAATTAGTCCATTACAATATCGACTCAGCGCACCCAGTTGGCGAAGCTGCTGCATATCGGATGATAGATGGTAGCTCGGGGAAATATACATGCGAGCATGGAGGGCCTGGCGTGATATTGGTCGTAGGATAGGGGGGACATGCGACATAGCATAGAGGATACAGACAAATGACGATGAGCAGACATCATATTTACTCCTTCGCCTCCTCGTGCTCGACGGCGATGATTGCCTGCCTCTTCTCCAACACACGAGCAGCACGA